GAGGGCCCAAAGCTGTTAGGCGGATCCCAAGGATTTTGATTGCTTCTTCCCTTGGTCGCCAGTTTACCGGWGGCTGCTGTRGCGGCTGAGAATTMTGCGGGGCCAGCCAMCATCCTTCCGTCTTTGTCCCCCAGTYAACCTTCATATCCGCAGCCAYTGCAAATGTTTGAATAGTATYCGTYAGTGCTTGAAGAGATGCAGCGGAGGCSTTGATGAGGACCGTGAGGTCGTCAGCAAAYAGGGATGTCACAGGCACCATATGGGGAGGCAAMYCGGGTATGTCAATACGTTCTATGGCCAGGTTATTCCTGATCATTGCCGCCAGAGCCTCCATGACCAGGACGAAGAGAAGGGGGGCAATCGGGTCCCCCTGCCTGACTGATCTCTGCAGTGGGAACGGGGGGGAGAGGTGTCCATTTACCATGATGTTGGTGGCCGCAGTCTTATGCATAATGGAGACCCACCTTCTGAAACAGTCCCCAAAGTTCATTTTTTGCAGGCAACAGTTCAGAAAGTCCCAGTCCACATGGTCATATGCTTTTTCGAAGTCAATAAACAGGACAGCGGCTTCCTTGCAGTGTTGTCTAGCGTACTTTATAGTCTCCTTCACTAGGAGGACATTGTCCTGTATGTTCCTTTGCGGCATAAACCCAGTTTGATCTTGAACGATGAGATGATTTATGTGTGGTAGCAGCCGATTAGTGAGGGCTTTGGAAACCATCTTGAATGGGAGGGGGAGGAGGGTGATTGGACGGTAGTTCCGAATATCTTCTTTTTCACCCTTCTTATACAGCAACGTGGTCACTCCTTGACTGATTAGGCCCCCAAAGGTTCCTTCTTTCTGAACTGCACTGACATAGATCCCAATGCCCCCTTGAAAGATATGCCAGTAATGGAGCCAGAATTCCTTGGGAAAAGAATCCAACCCCGGGGTCTTTTCATCCTCCATTCCTTTMAGGGCTTCTAGCAGCTCGTCCATGGTTAGTGGAAGATCGAGYTGTTGTCTTTGGTTTGAGGACAGCATCGCCGAGAGGTGTTGGAGCATCGTGTCTCTTGCGACAGCCACTTGCTGGGGTCCCCATCTGGCCGATTCGGAGGTAYATAACTTTTGATAAAACTGGGCAGCGTAGTCCACAATGGTATATGCATTAGTGGCTTTTGGCAAAGTGCGRTCAAAGGGATGGCCGAGTGAGGGCACCGATGCTTGCCTTGCTCTT